TTCTTTTGTCTTTGCACTTGTTTCTACATATGGTACACCCCATTGTTCTGCTCTGGCTTGAGCTTCATTTAAACCAACTTTTCTTTTTTCTTGTAAATCACTTTTATTTCCCACTAATAAAAATGGAATGTTTTCATCATTTTTTACTCTAAGGATCTGTTCCCTAAATATATAAAATTACATAATTTTGTTTTGAAAATTACATGTACACATATTTATAATTTAAATAATTTTTTTATTCACCTAAATTCTTGCGTTGCTTGAAAACTATCATCCTCTGTTATAGAAAATACACAAAGAAATCCTTCTCCACTTCGAAAATAATTATCTCGAATTGCTGCATAATCTTCTTGTCCTGCAGTATCTAATATATCTATTTGTACTTCTTCTGCATCTAACACAACTTTCTTTCTATAAGAATCTGCTTTTGTAGGCTCATAATCTTCCACAAACTAATTTATATGTAAAAAAAAATCAATAAATTAATAATATAATTTATTATTTATATATTTATTTATAATATATATTTTTTTATGAGATCAATATACCTCATCATACATAAATTGTAATGTGAGAGCAGATTTTCCAACGCCTCCACTTCCAACCATTATAACCTTATGCATTGCTTGAGTAGTACCTGGTTTTTTGGACATTTTTTATATTTTTCTGAAATCAATGAATAAATTTTAATATCATAACAAAAAAATTTATATATTATACAAATATCATATATCATATATTTATGATGTTAAAAAGTTTTTTCTATACAGAAGCATTATAGATAACATATTAAATAAAAGGAGAATATGAAATTACTATTGTCAATATTTGTCTCATATGAGAAGTCTAAAAACAGTAGGATAATCAGAAATATACATTTACCTATTTTGTTTATATTATACTTGTTTATATAGTACAAATTAATTTTATCTATTGATTTGTATCATATTTATAGCATCAAAGAAATGTAACACTTTTTATCATAATGAACTTTCATATAAATAATGTATTTGTAATAAATTGTTATTTTCTCCTAAATTGCGTATTATATATAAAGATAAAAAATTGGACAATCAATAAAATGACAAATTAATCATTTTTCTTTAAAATTTAATTAGAAATAATATATATAAATAAGATAATACAGTATTTAAATTGTAAAATTTAATTATGATTTTATAATTATTAAAATGTAAATAGAATTCAACTAAAAATATTTTGATATACAGTGACATTTAATCTTTTCATTATGTTTATATGTATATTCTGACAAATACGAATAAGAAATGTTGTAACAAAAATATAGAAAAGTATATCAATTTCTACAAATTGTGATATTATTTAATTAATAAAGTTAGTTATATTTAATTAGTAAGAAAAACTAAAACGATAAGAAAACATATAAAATGTATCAGAATAAAGAATAGTGAAAAAGGCGGTGCCACACGCCCAATTTTAGGAATGCTTATTTCGATTCTAAATCCCTGAAGTTTCATTCGTCATACATCAGTGTAAAGTTTAAAATATTTCTTACCTTAATTGATGACAAACTTGAATTTTTTAAATACTTTCTTAAATGACGTTTATCAAATAATTTTTGCTATTATTTTCTAAGACCACAGTCGTTGTGCTTTACTGGACTGCAATTGATAATACCGATAATTGAGCAGAGTACCGGGCACTCTACCGGCACCTTACCAAACTGTAATACTGGCGCCTAAAGTAAGTAGTTAATCTTTTTTCTTTTCTATTATCAAATTTTATAATTTAAAAAGAATTATTAAATATATCCGTATATCTTATTATCTTTATTTTTTTAAAAAATTAATAATATTATCAAATTATTAATAAACATATAATTGTGTATTTAATTTTATGCAAATAAAAAATTTTAAAAAAATTTAATGATAAATTATAACTTAAATACGCTAATGTCCCTAGAACAATAATTCAATATTTTAAAAAAAGAATTTTTTTAAATAATAAATTTTATGTTCCTATAAAAGTTATATTAAATTATATTATATTATAATAGTTTTTTAGAATCATATATTTCTATTTGTTATATATTATATGTCTTTTTTGAATATTTTTTATTGATTACGGAAGCAAGTGCTGCATTCATACATATTTTTCATTTTTATTGAATATCATATAATATTTATATATTTGATAAAAATTATTAATAATAAATGTGACAAAATATAAAACATTCTTATTTCAATTATTTTACACTTTTCTGCATCAAACCAGAAAGAATTGGTTAGAAAAGAACAAGTGACGTCAAAAGAAGTCGCGTGATCGTTCTCGAGGCTACGGACTGGTCAGAGGTATCTCTTATAACAGTGATCTTTGTCAAAAATCCAACTGAAACGGACAATATATTATCATTTTAACGAAACATTTATAATTGACCATATTTTCTTGAAAAAACTTACTTTATTTGTAAAACAAAAATTTAATATTCTTTACGAAAATCAAAAAGTATTTGAAATTTATTTTATAAAAAAAAACGGATCCACCTAATGAGAATTACTGGTAAAACGATTTCCTCGTACTACAATCTGTACGTAATAATAATCGCTATAAGATTTAAGGAATATGCGTTGCGCGGCGCGTACTAATGTTCGGATTTTTCCAATGAACGGTAGGTTCGTGTTGTTTTCTTTTTCTTCTCTTTATTTCACCAAGTATAAAATAGCTTACAATTTCTTATTGCAATACTTTTCTTGAATCTCTTTTTTTTTCAGCTATTCTATAATAATACAAAATTTAGCATATGATGACATGTTATAAATATAAATTATAGAATGAAGCTGCAATGACAGTGGAATTAACGTAACAAATTTTTTAAATGCGTGTTTAATGAGTGTTTAATGAGTGACATATACCAAATGTACTCTGATTTAATGAAATTGAGATTCAAGTTTTTTTTTTTAATAAATAAACATTAGTGAAATAGGTGTATAAAAGTAGTATATAAAAGTATAGTGCAGATTGGAAAAGAAATATCTACATGCTGTCATAGGATGACTGACCCGAAAATCGAAATGCATTACACACCACCAAGTTCGGATACTATTCAAACAAAACCTTTTCCTATTCGTGGTAAGATATTTTAGAAAAAATATAATTTTTCTCAGATTTAAAAATTTTATTTAATTTGAATATTTTGAATTCTTATTTTCTGATTTTTTTTAATGTAAAATGCAATTTAATATAATGTATTAAATTTTATCCTAGAAATAACTTAAAAGCTAATTTCAGTTCATTACAAAATGAATATATTTATTAAAAAACTAGTCATTATTTTGTTAATATCTTTTTGATTAAAATCTTACAAAATATTCATTTTACAAAAATATATTTTTTCATTTATATAAATTATTCACTATATTCCATTATTATTTTGGAAGAACATAACCTGAAAAGATATGTTAGCCGCGTGCAATGCATTTACATAAATGTCAGGATTACATATTTAGATAATATAATATATATATATACAAAAAATTGAGTTAATTGAAATCTATAGCAATACGAAATGAATTAAAACTAATATAAAGTATACTTAACATTATAGAAACTTAAATTTGATCTTCGTAAATGATTAATTCTTATGATTAATTTGTAGAAATAAATTTTCATGCATTAAATAAAATTGGACTATTAATATTTTGTTACAAAAACAAATTACCGATTAGCAAAATTTTTCAAAAATTAATCAAAACTTTTTTTTAGCACTCGAAAATTTTTATTGTTTAAAATATACTTCAATGAATTTTCAAGATTTGAATATTCTTAATATAAAATATATTTTTAAAAATACTCATAGCGCAAAATAATATTAATAATAAAATATTAATATGTCAAAGACAATTATAAAAGTTTCATTGATTTTTTAAATAAATAAATTGTCAATTTTTTTTATACAAAATAATTTTACCATAAATATTTTTTCTTATAATTGTACTTTCTTTCTTACTTGGTCTTTTGTCGATTATTAAAAACAAGTGATAAAATTAATCTAAAAAGATTGACAAAAAACAAATAAATAGTAGTAAATAAATAAAAAAGTAGTGGCAACATGTTTATTGAATATTAATTTTACAAAAAAGATAAAATGTTTACGTTTTAACTAAATGATCTAAACAATTACAGATCGTACCATTTCAATATCATCTGATAAAAATTATTAAAAATTAGAAATATATTGAAATTGCTCAATTTTCATTGCAATTTCAAGTCAATTATTGATACATTCTAAGCTGGTAAAAATAAATAAGTTATTATTAATAATACTAATTTAAAATTATATAAATTTTTCTAGATTCATTTTAATATTATATAAATTTAAAGCATGTTGAAAACAAATGATATAAATATAACCAATTCTGAATCTAATCTTTATGAAGTTATAATCAATTATAAAATTTTAATAGAATATGCAGTTTATTATGAAACAACATTTATAATGAATTGATATGATAATTTTTTTATTTTCAAAGAACAATACTATATTATTATATCACGAAAATAATAAAGATAAATATATGTACGTATTTATTATATTTATTATATTTTATAAGATAAATAAAAAACTTATCTTGTACACATATCAAACAAGATTACAATATCAAATTGATATTACCAGAAATCACTTGTTCTATTTTTTCTATAAGAAAAACAATATATTAAAACAATATATTCTATTAGATAAACAATATCATTAATAATTGCATCTAAAAAAAAGTTAATTTCTGTCTTGATGATTAAAATAATTCCTAATTAGTTAATACAATTAATGATATAATTATAATTCAACATTAATTGATAATTATAATTCAACATTCAATTCAAAATTAAATCTAAAAAATACTTTTTTCAAAATAATTAACAATAATAAAAATGATTATGAAATTTTCTTTTATCTATAATGCTTGATAATTACAGGTGAACGAGCTAATTTTGTAAATAAGCCACATGTGATTGCTATGGTAGGATTACCTGCCCGTGGCAAGACATATATTTCAAAAAAATTATGCAGATATCTCAATTGGATCGGTATAAGTACAAAGGTGTTCAATTTAGGGGAATATAGACGACATGCAACTACTGCTTATCAATGCCATGAATTTTTCCGTCCTGATAATATTAAGGCAATGGCAATACGTACTCAGTGTGCGATGGATGCCCTTAAAGATGTTTGTCAATGGTTGGAAAGCGGAGATGGAGAAGTGGCTGTATTTGATGCTACCAATTCTACTATCGAAAGACGACAACTTATTAGAAACATTGTAGTTGAAAAAATGGGATTTAAACTTTTTTTTGTTGAGTCTGTCTGTAATGATCCTGAAATCGTTGAGCAAAATATCATGGAAGTAAGAACTGCTTTTCTAAAATCAATAATAATTATATTATGAATTCAATAATAATTATATTATTAATTTGTCTTAATATATAGATATATAGACTATAATATATAGACTTAAATATATTATTTTTAAATATCATTTTTATTTTTATTGAGTTTTTTTATTTATACTATTATTCTGGACTAATTCTAATAATTTGTGATTACTGATCATAAATGAAACTTTTACTCATTTAGGTAAAAGTAAGTAGTCCAGATTACGCAAATATGAATAAAGAAGAAGTATTGGCAGACTTCATGCTACGAATTGAACATTATCAAGAAAAATATCAACCACTGGATGAAGCTCAAGAAAGCGATCTTTCTTTTATGAAAATTTACAACACTGGCGAAAAAGTGCTAGTCCATAAACATGAAGGTCACATACAAAGTAGGATAGTTTATTATCTTATGAACATCCATATAGTGCCACGTACGATCTATTTAACTAGGCACGGCGAAAGTGTGATGAACCTTGAAAGTAAAATAGGTGGAGATTCAGTGTTAAGCGAAAGAGGCTGGGAATATGCCAAAGCATTGTCTAATTATATTACTAGCCAAGATATTCAGGTATAAAATAAAAGAGAAAAATTTTTTGTTTAAAAAGAAGAAAATAATATTTTTTATGATTATAGGGATTGCGAGTATGGACTAGCTGGTTAAAGAGAACCATTCAAACGGCAAGCGACGTGAATGCGCCTCAAGAAAGGTGGAAGGCGCTAAACGAGATTGATGCAGTAAGTTATAAAGAATAATTATTTTTGTTTTATTTTTTGACAAATGTCTTCTATCTTTATTTATAATAAAATATTTGACACATAAAACTATGATGATAATTGAACTATATTTACACAGGGTATTTGCGAAGAAATGACATATGAAGAAATTGCAGAAAAATATCCAACAGATTTTGCTGCAAGAGATCAAAATAAATTCTCTTATCGTTATCCAAGAGGAGAAAGTTATGAAGATTTAGTCGCACGACTAGAACCGGTAATAATGGAACTAGAACGGCAAGGTAACGTTCTAGTTGTTAGCCACCAAGCGGTTTTACGATGTCTACTTGCTTATTTCCTAGACAAAAATGCGGGTAAATATATCTAAATATACCATTCCATAAATAAAATGCATATACATGATATATTTACATTATATTAAATCAAGATATGTATACTTATATATTTGAATAACAAATATCAAAATTGTTTTGTAATTTTTGATCTTCTATGAATTAAAATAAATTAGAAAAATAAATATGTAAAAATAATGAAATGTTAAGAATGAGACATTCTTACATAATTTTTGTTTACATAATTATAATTATAACATAACATAATTAAAATTAATATAAATTGCGCAGAGTATAAACGTAATTTGTTCTTGTGTTTCGTAATCGCAATTTGTTCGAAATTTCGAATCATTGCTTAACAATTCAATAATGATTTTGTTTCTTATTTTACTTTATGATTCAAAAAATTTTTTTCTAAATTTTCTAAAATTTTCTTGTTCTAAATGAGTTACTATATTCTTTTTCTAGATGAATTACCATATTTACAAGTTCCATTACATACTATTATTAAATTAACACCTGTTGCTTATGGTTGTAAAGTGGAACATATTCGATTACCAATTGATGCAGTGGATACACATCGACCAAAACCAAAGGTAGAATAATTAGAATTGAATATTAACAATTGCTTTCTCATTTGTAAATATATCTTTTTATTAAGCAAAAATAGAAAAAATTGAGACATTCTTATTTTGCTTGCTGCTCTTAAAATAAAACCTCAATTCCTTTTTTATGTTTTAATGTTCTCAGAATGCCTGACTATTAGTGGATTGGGACTACTTTCTCTCGTATCTAATCTTAATTTAATATATCCTAAAAGTTATTTAATTTCAAGCTTTATAAATTAAAAATTATATCGCATGCATTTTTTTTCATTAAATTAGCATGAAGATTTATTAAATTAAAATTGAGATGTCGTACCACGTTCATAATTATTATTATTAGAGATGTACAAATATCTGAATCACGAATATTGGAACATTTCAAATTATCGGAATTGCGATTCGATATGAGTAATGATACGAATATAATTTCAAATACTCACACATATTTAATTTATTATATTGTAATAGTAATATAACACATAGAAATAGTTTTGTGTAAATTTATATAATGCATATAATGATAAATATTAATTTACGATGATTAGTCATATATATTAATAATGTCAAGTTTGTTGTTAAAATAGACTGTATAAATCTATAATTAAAACATATCGCCACCATAAAACGTACACAAAATTTACAATTTATTTAATAAAGTTGTATACTTATTTATATATATTTATTTGAATGAACGTTGATCATTATAATTTGTAAATACCGTGAAGGTAAAAAAAAATTTTTTTTTATATTTGCATTTATGATGAACATGCACATAAAATATATATATGATATATATTTTAGCGATATGTATATATATTTTTTAACGGTACGACGTGATTATAAAACTTATTAAATCTATATCTGCTTAATAATCTATATGCGAATTAGGTTTTTTTTATTTCTGTTATATAAACGTAGAAGAATGTAGTAGAATATTGTTTACATATGGACCATTGTGCAAATTTTATAACGGTCCTTATGAAACTCTTTTCAGATCCCAGGATATCTTGAAGAACGATTCCGAAGAAAAGAAAAATTGCTTCGCACGTGATAACAACGACATTATAGCATGACAGAGCTAATTTTAATCGTCATTATAAGATGCTGAAGACAGCATTTTTTTGGCAGCTGGCTGCCTTTGCACGATGCAACGAGCATCTAATTTAGCTTTCTACACTTTAAAAAGTTTTAGACGAAGTATATCTGACAGCAAGCGATATTGTTTCTATACGAGTTATATGATTAAAGGTTTTTTTTGTTCAATTTTTTAACAATATAATGCTACAGTATATTAAATTTTGATTTTTAGATTTTCAAAAATATGTTTGAAAAGATAGATATTTTATTAAATAAAATCATTGAAAGAATCCTGTAAAAATTAAAATGAATATATAACCACTTATATAAATTAGTTTCAATTCAGAGTTTTATTATTATATATAAAATTTAAAAAAATTTTGAGAATTATATTTAAAATTATTTGTTTCTAGCGTTTGATTTATTATATATTTTGTGTTGTTTATTAATCATTAATAAAAAAAGAAAGTCGATTTCCATATATATAATTTCTAAAAAATAGTGGTTATACATATAGCAATGTTTATGTATGTATAAAAATTATACATATAATACATATTTAAAATACATATTTATGTATTTTATAAAAATATTTTATTGTTATCATGTTTCGGCGATTTATCAAGCTATTATATATAATATGATCAAAAATAATTGAATCATAAATATATTATATAGAAACTATTATGGAATGAAAATTATATTATATTTCAAAAAAAGTTAATCGCCTTACATGATAATCTAATTGCTGATATAAGGGTATAAATTCCAAAATAATTTTGCCGAGATATTCTGCTGTGTGAAAGATTGAAAACTTTTTGAAGTATAATTTATTTTAAGAAAAGTGTACATATTTTTTTAATGCCCTTCATGACAAGAAAATACATGTATTTGAAATCAATAATTTGTTCTTTAATTTTAATATCTGCATCTAAAATAAATATAAATTTTCGAATATTATTCTTTTTTATGATATATCTTTAGTAAACATACCTTTAATATTATTGATGCTACACCAGAGAGCGCTAGTAGCGAATAGATAACACTGTTATCATTGATATTATTGTTGATATTCTATTTTTTACTCTTCTTTTAAACTATATAATGAAGAACACAATTAATGACAATGATGGCAACAACTAATGAATTTGGCCCTGATTCTGGTGGTAGAGTTAAGGTAAATTTTTATTAAAAATAATTTATGAAAAATTTATCACTTTTTATATTTCTAACCTATGCATATATAAATAAAAAAATAAATTTTAAATATAATAATAATAATAGTTATTCAATTTTTTACATTGTTATAAAATTGAAAAAGAGTAAATTATGATTATTATTAAATGATTATTATTAAATTTTATTGAGTATATTTTTAGGGAGTTACAATAGTAAAACCAATTGTATATGGTAATGTAGCTCGATATTTTGGTAAAAAAAGGGAAGAAGATGGACATACTCATCAATGGACTGTATATGTTAAACCATATCTTAATGAAGACATGTCTACATATGTTAAAAAAGTACATTTTAAATTACATGAAAGCTATAATAATCCTAATCGTATTATGACTAAACCACCTTATGAACTCACTGAAACTGGTTGGGGAGAATTTGAAATAGTTATTAAAATATATTTTCATGATCCTAATGAACGTCCTGTGAGTATATTTTAAATATATAAATTATAATATCATATAAGAATTATTATATCATATAATATAAATTTCAAATTATTTATTGCTTTGAATAGGTAACCATATATCACATATTAAAACTTTTTCAAACAACACCTGAGATACAATTGGGAAAAAAAAGTTTAGTGTCTGAATTTTATGAAGAAATAGTTTTTCAAGATCCAACAGCTTTAATGCAACATTTATTGAATTCTAATAGACCTATAACTCTTGGTGTTTGGCGTCATAATACAGATTGTAAGTACTAATTAATTGAGTTAATAACATTTTATATATGAAAATTATTTTTATTTTATTATATAGTTGAAGCTAAAAAGGAATCTACAATGAAAGCAATAATAGAAGCAAGAAATAAAATAAGATTGGAAGTCATAGATCTTAAGGAAAAATTGACATTAGCAAAGGAAACAATTGCTAAATTCAAAGAAGAAATTGCTAAGATTTCTAAAGCTGGTGGAAGTTTGTCTGTTGCATAATTTAAACATTAAAAAAATTTTTTAAATGTATTATAGCATAAAGAAGATAATAAAAAAAGCACAATAGTTTTTATAATTAATTAATATATAACAGCTTTAATATGAAATGATTACATAAATAGATTAAAAAATATATACATATATAATAAAAGTAAAAAATAATATATATAATATATTTTTTAAATATATGTTTTATTGTTCAATAGTATTTACTAATAAATTTTCTGTAAATACATAGGATTACAAAACAAAGCATAAATGTGATATCATATATATGTCTGCATATAATTATGATTTCATTTTACTTTCTGAAAGTGCTTAGAAAAATGCTTATAATTTACATCTATAATAATTCAATTGCTATAAAAAAATTTTTTTTTACATTTTTTATCTTATAATTAAAAAAATTTCTAAATTTTTAAAAAATAACATTTTAAAATATTCTATAAGTTTGTTGATAACAATTAAAAATTAAAAAATATCAATAAAAAAATATTAAAAGTTTAATGTATTATTATATTGTTTTTGTTATTAAATTTATAAAATATATTTTCAGAACATTTGTTACATATAATTGTTATATTTTATATTTAAATAAATAAATAAATATTATATTTAATATTATAATAAGTATTATAAATAAATATTAAATAATTTTTATGAAATTCTAATTAAAATAATAATTCTAAGTGAAAACGATATTATACATATTTGCACATATTACATATATATTACCGCAAAAATTATTAAATGTTATAACTTATTGAATTTTTAAAATAAATGTATCAATGTTATTTTACACAATTACGTAAATATTATTTCTATTTCTTTTATTGATATTATATTCTTACAAAATGATATAGAAATTATTATTTAGATTTTTTAATGACTCGTGACTTTTAAATTGACCTTGAAATATTACATGTACTTTGAAATTATCTCATACAATAGTTATCTATAAAGAATAATGTAATTCTACAATTTTAGGAGTCAGTTCAATGATGAACTTAAAAAGAGCAACAGTACCGATATTTCTTTAATCATTTAAGTGCTTTCTCTTAGATTCGTACTTGATAATTGCATATACAGGAACATTTTATTATTGTATATGTAAAATGACTGCAGCGCCGAACTCAAACGCTTCTAAATCGTAAGCTGTTACTACTTGATTACGAGTTTCTAGCAGATCATAGTTTCAGTTCGTGCTAACTCTGATATTATTCTTATATATACATACATATATGTACTTATAGTAATAGTTATGCAATAAACTTTGTATCTAAAACCGGCCGGTCAAATATGAGTATATTATTAAATATTTAATCTCGAAAGTTGTATACGAATTTCAATATTAAATATACTAACTTATTTAATTCTATGTTCTTTAATATCTTAAAATTTATATTTGATCATGATTATTTTACATGTATACTCTAGTTATGAATTCGTTTAACTGGTCAGTGATGACTTAATTATTTGATTGATTTAATCAATTTTTTATTTCGTGTTTTATTGTTTGTTTAATTCAATAAGTGTAATGTAATTTTTAACTTTGGTAAGATATTTTTAGTGCTAATCATTCTTATTTTCAAAACTTAAAATATGATTTGTAATTTTGTAACCAAAATTTTTTTGTTAGCCACATTAATTATTATTGCACTAAGAACTTATATTTAAAATTATATGACTTTATTTAATATTATTATAATTTGTATTAAAAAGTAAAGAAAATTTTATTTCATTAATAATTTACTAATTTATATTAACCAATTAATAAATAAAATAAAAAATAAAGCTTAAAATTTAGTAATTTTTGATTTAATATTAATTGAATATTACTAATCTTTATCTATGCATGTGTATTGTAATATAATAGAATAAATTATATTAAAATTTATAAATAATTAATATTGCATTTTTTTGCATAATTAAATATTGTTCTAAATAAATTCTAAAAGTTAAATAGCTTTATATGCTATTTTTAAAATAAAATATTTTTTTCGCGCGCATTTTAAATTCCTTGTATGTTAAAGATTTTTTGAAAAAATTATTTTTATAGAAAAATATATTTATGGTAAAATAATTTTAGATAATTATTAATTCTAGATTTTATTAGTCCAGGTATTGAATTTGTAATTGGAGGATTAGCTGCAGTGGGAGCTGGATTTTTTACGAATCCAATTGATGTAATAAAAGTACGATTACAATTACAAGGAGAGCTTGAAGCACGCCGTACATACAAAAAAATATATAAGAATACTCTACATGCAGGCTATTTAATTGCAAAACATGAAGGTATATGTGCTTTACAAGCCGGCATTATACCGGCTCTATATTTTCAAGTGGTGCTCAATGGAATACGGTTAGGTAT